TACTACTAGCAAGGCACTTGTTACTAGTAGCAATGCACTTGTTTCTAATAGCTTCTTGTTTCTAATAGCAATTCTTGCCCCTCCTAATCTGGGGCACAAGCCTTTGTGATGCGTCTGTCCAAATGCTGTTTGCCTCGGAAGGGGAACGCAAAAATGCCTTGGTCAGATTCACTTTTCCCAATCCATGAGATGCGGGCCAAACTCGGCCCAGGTTGTCTTCTCATCTAGCAGCGACGTGCCCATGGCTATGAATTCCACATTCTGGCAGGATATTTGCGCTGCAATTGCTCTTTCTGTGCTTGAATGCGCCTGATTTCTCCTGCATACGCTTCATTGAATCGAATTCAAAGGGCTGGAGCTGATATTTGATCTTTGCCCCAACCTGATGATATGTTCCATCTAGAGCAAGGATGGACATTCCAACAAACTTATAGAGTAGTCAAGTTTGTGTAATAGTCTTGCAAACAAGTTGTGCAACTTGCCACAAACAAGTTGACAATGGAAGGGTGATGCCAGTACTACAATCGACATAATTAGATGTTCTGGACCCCACCTCTTTTTGCCAGCTCTGCAGCAACGGCAACCGTGCTTTGCACGGAGCAGAACAGGCTAAACACAACACTGGATGGAACTTGTGACAATCTCTACTCAGGACCCCAAGATTCATTGAAAGCTTCCAACCTCTGCTCGGGGTGGAAAATAGTTTTTGATTCCCTGGTCACATGTGCAAAGATGAAAGGACATATGTGTTATGAATCCGAGGATGCAATCTAACTTGAAACGCGACAGCACTGTTGCACTCATAGCCGCTATAGCCACAAAAGAACAAATTCCGGACCAGGCGGTGGAGAAAGGTAAACTGGCGCGGCCAAGCAGGGGACAAGGCCCGGACAAGGCGGAGCAGGAAGGGTCCGCGGCACCAAACAGCACACAGACACGTTGAATGTTATTTTTGGAGCTACTACTAGCAATGTCCTTTGCTATTAGTAGTTTATTGTTACTAGTAGCGATGGCCTCCAACCAACTAGTTGTTTGTTACTACTAGTGAGAATGACTAAGACAATGAGACGGATTTGGGCAAACAAAGGCCATGCTTTACACAAAGCATTCCTGCCTGGTTTATGCAGGCAGTAACTAGGCAGAACGAGTTTTAGACTAACCGCCAGGGACTATATAATCCAACATCCAAACCAGAACTCTCTTTGGGGAAGAATAAGAATTGAAGCGGGTCTTTGCAACCAACAAGTCATGAGGAGAGATTAAATCCATAAGGATGGGTGATTCCGATTCCTGTCAAATAGACTTAAGGCTGCTCTTGTTTCCAGCCAAGTTTCTTGCGGCTATCTGGGCTAACCCGTCACCGACATGTAGGCTGCAGTTGTGTGGCATTCATTCCTTCAGTTGACGCAAGGGCATATGGCATATTCAATTCCAAACCACTTCATTTTACAGTTTCTCAGCAAGATGCGCTTCCGAATTGGGAGGCAATTGCAAAGTCTGCGCTTTGATTGGCCCCCCAAAAACCTCAATCAAATGTTCACGGGACGAATCAAGCATGCCCAAACTGTTTTGCTGCAAAAGAATCAAAATATGTTTTTGCTCGCCTCCCCTCGTGCATGTGGGATTTTCAACACAGCTTTGTCACTCCTGCATCAAAAATACAACATATGTTGCATCTTGCAAAATGGGGCATTATCACGTCGGAATTGTTCAACCCATCTGCATTTGGACAGTCCTGTCAGCGCCATGTGTTGGAGCACCATTCTCTTGAAACTTCAGATGCTTCAACGCCTGCGAACATGCCAACCTACAAACACTGGAAACCATGAAATTGAGGTCTTCAAAGCTGCAACGAACCATGACAAAGTGTTTTGACAACCTTTAAGGCAAGCTACTTTGTTGAAGAGTTGGCGCACAAATTCTATCGCCATGGCATTGGATCGAAACTGTCCTACTGTCAAATTCGGCAAATCCGACATGTGCTGCATGCACCAAACTAGCACGGCTCTGATAAATCAGTCAACGAAAGGCAAAAGCATGGCCCATCGCAAAGCATGAATGGATGTGACTGAACGTCACTCAAAGCTTTGTTGCGTTCTTGGATACGGCTGCGCGCTGAGTGATGAAAACGATTTTTTTGTGGCTCTTTGCTCGTCTGATACAAATTTCTCAGTGCCACCAATCACGCAAAATTGTTTGTCCCAAATCCCAGACAGTGGGGCCCGACAACAGTGTGAATAGACAAGCATGTCCCAAGCACAAGAATGCACGGCTGCATGGCTGCAAGGGGGTAAAGGGCACAAAAACGCTGCTTCCACAACTTTCTAACATCAGAAACACTCGCATGTCTTAAACGAATGATTCTGCAAAGGCATGTTCGTGAAGAACTGCCGTCAAGTCCATTCCCTTCATCATCACCATCACCATCACCAGCATCATCAGCACCACCACCACCACCGCCACCATCAAGTCATCATCATCGTGTCATCATGAAACAGCGACACACCGCGTTTACGCCAGCATGTTTCGCGCTCCCCAGTGGCACAGCGCCACGTAAACGCACTTCCCACCAAGGCCGCACAAATCCGTGTGGCACTGCGACATCACGTGCAACTTCGCCACACGGTCTGCCCACACACCAGCAACATGTCACACATCATCCCGCTCACCAGCGACACGCATTCACGCTAGCATGTTTCGCGCTCCCCAGTGGCACGGCGCCACGCACATGCACTGCCACCAAGGCCGCGCATCGTTATTCAGGTGCACTGAAACTGCAAAGCGCGAGATTGCTTTCGTTCGGACCCGTTGTGCACTTGTCGATTTGTGCTCCCATGTTCTCGAATGAACACGATCAAGCCACCCAACAATGCTAAGATCCACAGTTCCTCTGTTTGCATCCGTGGTGGCAGCGGATGGAAAAACCCCTTTCAGAAAGCAGCGCCGACGGTCGACGCACAAAAACTTTTGGCAAGATTCCAAGCAACCCAGATGGACCTTTTCCTGAAAAGCAGGAAAAAAACAAAACCAAGCTCCTTCCCATCTCTTGCACTTTGGTCTGCTTTGCTCAAATCTGCAACTCCTCCTACAGGTGCAACACCTCCATCAGGCATGGGAATGTCGACATCCACGTCCTCATCTTCTGGAGGCCTTTTCACTGACCTCTCCAGAGCATGAACTGGTGGCGGAGGTGAAGCCTGTTCACCGCTTCTGGGATCAACATAAGCACCCGCAAGCAGAGGGAACAAGACGTTCACGCCATACCATGCTGATTGGTCCCTCACTCGGAAATTGTGACTCTTGACCTTTACCCCCGTGGAGTCAACAGAAACCGGGTCAGCCAAACAGCCACCACTGGCTGTTGACAATTGGAACCTCTCTCAATGCGACGGACATGAAGGAAGGTCCTTTGGACTGTGTGTAAAAACTTGTTGATTGTTTCAACACAAATGGGTGTCTCACCTTCTTTGGACAACTTTGCAGCAGTGTTTGGCGACGTCGGCTTGCAACGGCTTCTCTCGACAATTGTGCTGTACCTGGCCCTGGCCCTCATATAAGCCCCAAGCACCATCCTCTGACCTTGCCCCTTCTGCGCATGAACTGGTTTCACAAACCCATGATCCCACAAGGAAAAGTTTGTCGAACTGACCCTCTCTTCTCTTTAAGAGATTCGGAGCCGAGTCAGAGGCTGAAGCCCCCATCACAGAAAGCCAGATGAAGCGCCGGACCATCTCCGATGAAGTCTCCGTTGTCCAGCCCTGTCTCAGAATGGGAAGGAAGAAGAGAAAGCGGGCGGAGAGGAACAAGATGGCGCATCTCCATCACCAAGCGGAGTAGATCCTGTGCCCTATTTTTTTTTGCACGAGTATGGACGCCGTGCGTGCGCTGTGCACAGGTCATCATTCTAAAGGTGGAAACTCTGCAAGTTGTGAGGGGGAGAAGCAAAACCAAAACAAACAAGCGACAACAAAACACAAACCAAAACACCAAAACAAGGCACCCCCAAGAGGAAACTAGCAGAGTTTCACGGCGCGCTGTACGCTAGGGTGAGACATCGTGAGACAAGGGAAATACTGCTACTAACTACTCGGGCCTCGAATTCTCGAATCATCTGTTGGTCTTTCCTGTGGTGTGGTTTAGCGCGGTCAGGCTGAGTGCGGACAGAGCCTGATCACTTGCGGGGCTGGCAGGGCTTCCAGGGTGCACGGGAGGCACTCCAAATCCCTCACTCCTGCCATCATTTCGGCAGACAGCGAGTGTGATGGCAGCGCCAGGGAGTTCCTAAGGAAATGCGACATCATGTGGACTTGCTCGAGCGCAAAGCGGTTCTGGCCTTGGAAAACAGTCAGCCTCTGGTCACAATTATTACACACAATTGCAATGGCAGAAAGAACTGTGGCCTGTGGTGGGCATTTGCCGTAGCAGGGCATTGCATGCAAGCACTCAAGAATGCACATGACCGGACCTCCCTCGGCAGAGGGAGGGGTCACTCACACAACCAGCAGGCTCCTTAACAGCATAGCCTACAGGAGCGCGGGAGGTGTGCGAGGAAGCAATCCAAAATGGATCGAGTCGGCATTCCGTGGTCGATGATTTCCTTCATGCACGGCCCTTGTGAAACATCGTGAAACATGAGCAAAAACCTAGCATGGTACTATGTACTCACTTTGTACAAGATTGGCAGGGCACGGACCCTTACCAGGCAAGGAACTAAGGTTCTCACCCAGCTGCCAATCAACCACTTGTCTACCGTCGCGTGCTGATCACCGGCCAGGAGCTAAGGCTCGCAACCAGGTCAGCTCACTAGCAGCTCCCACATGGTCCTCTACGGCCCTTATGGCTTTTTGCTGGGCACGCCTTTGATTCGCAAAACATGAGCATGGATGGAGTCCTGCACAGCCTCAAGGGTCATCGCCGTGCGAGGTAGGCTTCGAACAGTACGAATGCAATCCGATCAGCTGATGCCCCTATCGCCTTTGTTGGGCTGGGCCTTCGCATAAACCACCGGAAGGGTGTGCAGTTAAGCAAGACTCTACAAGCTGTGCAATAGAGTACAAGCGAGATGTATGAATCACTGCTGACATCCAGGCTTATGGGTATGAATTCGCAGTTCTGCTCACAAGCATGACTGACAGTGATGCTACGTCTCTTGCGGACCTGATTCTTAACCTATAGTTGAAATCTGCTGCAGCGACTTTACGACTCGGCTCCGTTGGGCCTAAGCCAAATCCGACACGCATCCTAGATCAGGGATCATGTGTAGCCA